AATGCCAATGCAAAAATCCTCAATAAAATAATGGCAAAGTGAATTCAACAACATATCAGAAACATCATTCACCTAGACTAAGTCAGCTTCATCCCAGAGATGCAGGGGTGGTTCAGCATATGAAAATCTATTAATGTAATGCAGCACATTAGCAAAAGCAAAGACAAAACCAATTGATCATCTCAATAGATTTAGAAAAAGACTTTGATAAGATTAAACACCACTTCAAGATTAAAACCTCTAAGAAAATTAGGACTAGAAAAATGTACCTCAACGTTGTAAATGCTGTGTATGACAAACCTATAGCCAACATCATACGTAATCAAGAAAAACTGAAACCATTTCCCCTAAAATCAGGAAAAAGAAAAGCGTGCCCACTATCCCCACTCTTATTCAACATAGGCCTGGAATTCCTAGCCAGAGCAATTAGGCAAGAAGGAGAAATAAAATGAATACAAATAGGTAAAGAAACAGTCAAAATATCCCTATTTGCAGATGACATGGTCCTATACCTCAAAAACCAAAATGCTCTGTGCCAAAACTCCTAGACACCATCAACGGCTTCAGCAAGGTGTCAGGATACAAAATCAACTTACAACAATCATTAGCTTTTCTATTCACCAACAATAAACAAACTGAGAAGGAATATATGGAAATAATTCCATTTACAATAGCTTCAAAAAAAATCAAATACCTAGGAGTAAACTTAACAAAGGATGTGAATGACCTCTACAAGGAGAACTACAAACCTGTGAAGAAAGAGATTGAGGAAGACTACAGAAGGTGGAAAGATCTTCCATGCCCATGGATTGGTAGAACCAACATAGTAAAAATGGCTATACTACCAAAAGCAATTTACAAGTTTAATGCAATTCCCATCAAAATCCCCCAATGACATTCATCACAGAGACTGAGAAATTACCCAAAAGTTCATTTGGAAACACAGGAGACCATGAATAGCCAAGGCAATTCTGAGAAAAAAGAGCAATGCTGGAGGTATCACAGTGCCCAACTTCACATTATATTCCAGACAATAGCAATAAAAACAGCATGGAATTGACACAAAAACAGATATGAAGACCAGTGGAACAGAATATATTACTCGGATATGAATCCACACATCTATGCCCATCTTATTTTTGACAAAGGTGCCAAAAACACGTGATGGAAAATAGACAGCCTCTTCAAGAAATGTTGCCGGGAAAAGTGGTTATCTGACAGCAGAAAACTGAAACTACATCCATGTTTTTCACCCTGTACTAATATCAACTCAAAATGGATCACTTTATTCATTTAATATCAGACCAAAACCTCTGAAGTTACTACAGAAAAGAGCAGGGAATACTCTGTAAGCAATAGGTATAGTTAATGACTTCTTCAATAGAACTCCAACAGCTCAGCAGCTAAGAGAAAGAAAGGATGGACAAATGGGACTACATGAAATTAAAAAGCCTCTGCACAACAAAAAAATGATGTCTAAACTGAAGAGACCACCCACAGAGTGGGAGAAAATATTTGCCACCTATACATCAGACAAAGGACTGATAACCGGAATAAAGAGGGAGCTCAAAAAACTAAACTCCCCCCAAATCAATGAACTAATAAAGAAGAGGGCAACTGAACTAAACAGAAATTTCTCAAAAGAAGAAATTCAAATGGCCAAAAAACATGCTCCCCATCTCTGGCCATAAAGGAAATGCAAATCAAAACCACACTAAGAGTCCACCTCACCCCTGCTAGAATAGCTTCATTAAAACACCACCAACTACAAATGTTGGCAAGGATGTGGGGAAAAGGAGCCCTTGTACACTGCTGGTGGGAATGTAAGTTAGTACAACCACACTGGAAAGCAATATAGAGGCTTCTTTAAAAATCTAAACATAGATCTGCCATATGACCCAGTAAACCCAAAAGAATGTGACTCAGTTTACTCCAGAGGCACCTGCACATCCATATTTATTGCAGCTCTATTTACAATCGCCAAGTTATGGAAACAACAAAGATGCCCCACTACTGACAAATGGATTAAGAAGATGTGGTATTTATACACAATGGAATTTTACACAGCCATGAAGAAGAATGAAGTCTTGTCATTCACAAACAAATGGTTGGAACTGGAGAACATCACCTTAAGCAAAGTTAGCCAGGCTCAGAAGGCCAAAAAATCATATGTTCTCCCTCATATGCAGACTTTAGACCTAAAATAAATACAGTAATATTATTGGACATGGGTCACATGCTGAGGGGAGAACACATACAGGAAGAATAGGGAAAGGTAGGGAACCAAAAACTTGAAAGTGTTTGATGTCCCCACTGCAGAGAAGCTAATATATCAACCTTAAAATGACAGAGGTCACTATGGGAGGGTAACTGGTAAGTAGTGAAGAGGTCTGGTAGAGATGTATCAATTTGGGTTGTAATACACATATGCCTGGAAGCAATGCTAGGAATCACTCTGTATAGCTATCCTTATCTCAAACTACCCAAAAGGCTATTTCTTATTGTTGCTTATTTCTTCTCTTCAACAAAGTTGTAGAAGAAGGTAGAACAGGTTTTGTCTGGAAGCAAAAGGGTAGGGAGGAGTGAGCAGGGATGGAGGGAAAGGGGGAGAGATGGCCCAAAAAATGTATGCACGTATGAATAAATGAATAAATAAACCAAAAAAATGTATTTGACAATTCCAGTGTCACTAGCCATAAATATATAAATTCATATAAATACCTAACCTACAGTTGTTGTTAATGAGTTAATTTGTTACTTTTTGGTTTAGACAGACACGTAACTGAGTCATGACTTCAACACTGGTTTATTTACTATTTTAAACACCATAATCAGTATATTAACTATAGCCACTCAAAATGCTCAGTTTTAAAAGACAGATTTAGGAATTAAAAGTAAGGGAGAATGGCTTGCTCCCTTACTACATTCAAGTCTTTGTTCAAATTTCACCTTTCCAAAAAAAGCACTCTGCCTATGTTATGTTACTTTCATTCCTACTTTCTTTTTCTTATCTTACCTATTTAAAACATCTTAAACCATATTTACTTATATATAATTGATCTGAAATAAACTGCACATATTTTAAAGTATACACTTTGATGTTTACCAAACATATACACCTGTTAAATGATGGCCACAATCAAGAAAATGAGCATATACTTCACCCCAAGAGTTTTTTTCATACCCATTTTTAATTCCTCCCAACCTTTTCCTTCCATCCCCAGCTAGCCATCAATGTGTTCTTTTAGTTTGTTTGCTTTTACCACTGTGGATAATTTTGCATTCTCTAGAACTTTTCCATAAAGGAATTACACAAAATATACTCTTTTGGGGGATATCTAGGTTTCTTTCCACTCTGCAAAACTGTTTTACATTAATTCATGTATTGTATCAACTGTCAGCTGGTCATGGCTGAGAAATATCCATTATAGGGACATATCCATTCACCTGTTGATACACTTGGACCATTTCCATTTGCTTGCTGTTACAAAGGAGACTTCTGTGAATACTCACACACAAGTCTCTGTACAGCATGTGCTTTCATTTTTCTTGCATAAATGTCTAGCAGTAGAATGGTTTTGTCACATAATAGATGTATGTTTAACCTTTTAAGAAACTATCAAAGTGCTTCTGAGGTGGTCATAGCATTTCATGTTTCCTCCAGCAGTGTTGGAGACTTCTATTTGATTCTCATGACTATCACACAACCCATATCATTGTCAGCACTCTGCATGTTCAGCCTATTTAATTTTTGACATTGTAGTAAGTACCACTTCATTGTGATTTGCATTTTCATTTTCCTGATGATTAATGATGTTGACCAGCTTTCCATGTGCTTATTTGCCATTCATATTTCTTCTCTGGTGAAGTGTCTATTCAACTGTTGGGCCAATTTTTAAAAATTGATTTTTTAATTACTGAATTTTGAGAGTCCTTTATATATTCTGGATATAAATTTGTTATAATATGATTTATAATTGCTTTCTTCTAGATAGTGGTTTGACTTTTTGTTTTCCCAACAGCACCTTTCAAAGAGAATAATTTTGGTCTTCTAGTTGTTCACATAAAAATGAATAGTCATTACATTTATAGGTTTATAATCTTGTTATAATTCCAAACTAAAGAATTAGTATTGTGTCAAAGTATTCTAACATACAATGATTTTGTGTTACTAGCATAATTATCTATAAAACATTAATGAACATTGAATAACCTCACCAAAAACATCATTTTTCTGAATACAGCTTAAACATTAGTTATAACTGTTATTTTTCCATGGAGATATTTTTCCCGTTCAGACAGGATATGAAATAGAGGATGGTAAAGGGAAACCATACAAGAGACACAGTGTTTATCATAGCAGGTATGACTTATGAGCCACCCTCCAAGTTGCATTATCTTTCTGCTTTTCAATTACTTAATTACCACTACTTCAGTCTGTTCATTACTACACTAACCCAGGTGGATTCTCACTTTAAGCACTCATTTACTTTTTCCTTTGGAGTTTTCCTTCTTAGAAACTTCCTATACTATTACATATATCCCTAAATTGTTAGTTACTGTGGCTACTAGGAATAACAAACAGGATTTCCTATAAACATGGTGTCTCTCAAGTGGGAACTTAATTGAAATATTAGGTAAGTTAAAAGTTAAGAAATATCAAACACTTGAACAGCCTATTGGGATAAGGCATTTGAAAGATGGTTAATAGATTAACACTAATCAGACTAAGGATCTATATTTCACAAATGTAATCTCCCTCTTGTAAACTGGTAAACAGGACTTGCTCAACTCTGTACAAGTAAGAATCTCTGCATTCTTATAAACACACAGAGAGTGGAGGATATGTTCATTGTGAGGAACTCTAGGATGATTTGTGAAAATATTTGTGAATTCATAAGTTTCTGAATATGGAAGTTTGTATGACTGTAAAGAAAGAAATGCCTGCTCTAAAATGTGATACTAGTTTTTATTTTCTGTAGATGTGATAGGACAAAAGAGAAATGAAGAACCAATCAGTGGAGATAAAGTTTATTTTGGTTGGACTGACAGATGACCCTCGACTACAAATTGTGGTTTTCCTGTTTCTGTTTTTCAATTACATCTTGAGCCTGACAGGGAACTCAGTCATCATCCTGCTCACACTGCTAGATCCCTGCCTCAAGACTCCAATGTATTTCTTCCTTGGAAATTTCTCCTTCTTAGAAATTTCATTCACAATAGTGAGCATCCTACAGTTCTTGATGAGCATTCTCACCGGAGACAAAATAATTTCCTATAATGGTTGTGTGACTCAAATATTCTTTACTTTTCTATTAGGAGTTACTGAGTTTTATCTCTTGGCTGCTATGTCTTATGATCGCTATGTCGCTATATGCAAACCTGTGCATTATCCAATCATTATGAACAGTAAAGTGTGCTACCAACTTTTGCTCAGCTCCTGGGCAACTGGATTTTTAACAATTTTGCCCCCTTTACTCTTGGCACTCAAGCTGGATTTCTGTGCATCCAAAACAATTGATCATTTCTTATGTGACACTTCTGTCTTACAGATCTCTTGCACAGATACACGTTTCATAGAATTGTTGGCTTTTGTCTTAGCTTTGATGACACTTGTCATCAAGTTGTTTCTAGTGGTCCTCTCCTACACTTTCATCATCAAAACCATTCTAAAATTTCCATCTGTTCAGCAAAGAACAAAGGCCTTTTCCACCTGTTCCTCACACATGGTTGTCATCTCCATTACTTATGGGAGTTGTGTCTTTATGTACATGAAACCATCTGCAAAGGAAAGGGTGATATTTGCTAAAGCTGTAGCTTTGCTGTATATCTCTGTGGCCCCTTTACTAAACCCTTTCATTTATACTCTAAGAAACCAGCAGGTAAAAGAAGCTTTCAAGCATATGCTTCAAATATTTTGTTCTTTTCAAAATCAAGAGGTAAATTTTAGACATATATAACATTCCATTGGAATATGAATGAAAAAAATGAATTGCCCATTACATTTGTTCTGGTCTATGCCATTTTCCCCTTTAGTATTTATATCATATTATCTTTATAATATGATCTTTACTCTTCTTCTTGAGCAGATCTTCCTAACCTCTAGGTACAATCAGCATTCTTCAGTCAAGAGTATTAAAATCTATCTTTACCTAAAAATCTCTCCTCTCATAAATAATGGTTTTATGTCATGAATGATTTATAGAGTGAACCTTGCCAGATATATTTAGTTTATTATTTTGATACCTGCATTTGGCATTTTCTCTTTATTCTGTATTGCTAAAATTCTCAGAGACAAACACAGAACATGACAAATATTATATAACATCATTGAGGTTGTGATAGAAAAGAAGTAGAAAATCTGAGTAATTTTAAAGATCAAGGTAGTTTTTCAAGAAGAGCATTGGTTATGAAAAACTTTGAAGAATGAGTAACAAAAAGAAAGATGAAGGGTGCATGAGGTATGACATGTGCAAAGGAATTGAGATTCTACTGGAAATTTTCTCCTACAGCAGTTATGATAAAATGAGAACATTTATTTGTTAATATAACTAACTTTGTGTTAGTAAAAATAATTGAACTCCAAGATCATTCCAATTATGTATATTCTGGTATTTGAAGACTAGAAATAAACCTATCATGAAAAAATTTAACATGTAATTCATGTATATATTAGTTTGGTGAAATTTTATATATTAAATATAATTTTCAAATTATAATTTCCTAAACTTGCTTATGTTAATCTTCACCAAATTAATTACATATACCCTACCTTCAAGAACATATGATTATTGGACAAATATGTACACTTCTAACCATAGAGAATATCATTATGAATTGTTTCCTTTGCTTCTCTTCAGTGATTCCCTATACCACTCCACCTCCATCTACCCTTCAATCAAAGTATCCATTGATGATCTTTCATTGACTGTATATTACTCTTACATTTTCTGGAATTTCATAAAAGAGAAATCACACAAAGTTTGAACTTTGTCTGGCTTCAGTATAATAATGTATGTTCTCCCATGTTATTTTCTGTATCTATACTTGCTTTCTTGTGTAGGCTGTGTTTATTAACATGCCTACTTTGCTTTTGTCAGCTTTCCTCCCGTTATTCTCATACTTTGGTATTTCATTCTCAGAGGAATCTCTCCATAAGACTGGATCATTTCCTTTGATCAGTGTGAGAAATGAGTACATTTAAATGCCATCCCTGGCAGTCTCTATCCTTCCACAATGTTTTTTGAAATAAACTGTGTGCCAAACTGGAATTAGTAGGGAGATGATATCCTTAGATGTCTTGGGAATTTTATTCCTCAGTTCACATTCTCCAGAGAGATAGGCTAAATAAATTATCCCTATTGATAAGAAGAAGGATACCTGTGAAAGAGCACATTCCACATTCTGTTGCTCCCTTTAGGTCTCACCTCAGCTGAATTCACTTGATCTACTTGATTTTGTATGCAACAGGCTCTAATGCTCAAATTACATTTGAATAGCTGAGGTAGCCAAGGTCTGAATGTTGCTGAAAGAAAGTTGAGGAAGCTAATACTAAAGATCTTAGGTTGGAACCCTACTGAGTAGGTGCAGGAAATATTAGTGGGAGTGGCCTTTAATTTTGGTAATTTCTGAGAGTGTCTTACCAATAGTCTTAGCAGTAAGGTAAGTTTTCATACATTTAATCAAAAGCTACTATGGTTGTCACATTAGTTCACCAACTTGACTACAAAGACATCTGTAGAACAATAGTCTCTCCTCCTACTACTACTTACAAGTTTATACAAAATCCTCTCATTGACAAATTATAAATTAAGGCTATAAAGAGGAGACTTCTGAGAAAAGGCCTCCGACCTTCTGCTCCTCTGTTAGAAAGACAAATAGACTAGTCCTCTGTTAGTTAACCTGGCAACATACAATTTAATGCAGATTAAAAAAAAACCCAACCATTATCTCAGAAATTGCAAATCAATGCTTCTATTACTTCTTCTACTCAAGAGTGATGCTAGATGCAATACAGGCTACTCCAGATGCACCTGCACACCCATGTTTATTGCAGCATTAGTCACAACAGCCAAGGTATGGAAACAGCCAAGATGCCCCACTACTGACGAATGGATTAAGAAATGTGGTAATTATATACAATGGAATTTTACTCAGCAATGAATAAATGATATCTTCATTTGCAAGTAAATGGATGGAACTGGAGAATATCATTCTGAGCAAGGTTAGCCAGGGTCAGAAGACCAAAAATCATATGTTCTCCCTCATATTCAGACTTTAGATATAGGGCAAATACAACATTATGGTTGGACTTGGGTCACATGATAAGGCGAGAGCACACACGGGAGGTAGGGGCATACCTATGGAACCCAAAACACGAAAGTATTTGATGTCCCCACTACAGAGGAACTAATACAGAAACCTTAAAGTGACAGAGGTCAATATGAGAAGGGGATCAGGAAATAGTCAAAAGGAGAGTTAGAGATGAATCAACTTGGGACGTAACACATGGAAGCAACACTAGGAGTCTCTCTGTCCAATGATCCTTATCTTAACTAGCAAAAATTCTTTGTCTTATTATTGCATATGTTTTCTCTTCAACAAAATTAGAGATATGGGCAGAACATATTCTGCTGTAAGTGAGAGGGGGTGGGGATGAGAGGGAGGGGATGAGGGGAGAAATGACCCAAACAACGTATGCACATGTGAATAAATGAATAAAAAAATGATGCCAGCATTGGGAATAAGTTGGGACAATTCCCAATAAATATGAATGCTGCCCACCACAGGAGGGCTCAAAACCTGCCTAAGAAACACAGACAGGACTGGATGCTAAGGGAGTAACACCAGAACAAGAAATACTGCAATTCTACTGCTCCAGAACTGGTGATATTTTATTTATTTATTTATTTATTTATTTTCCTAACTTTGAAGGTTTGGCTGTCTGGGTTGCTCTTTCATCATCCACCAACTCTCCCTCTTGTTTTCTTTGGCTCTCCATTTTTTTCTCTCTTTTCTCATTGTCTTTTTTCTCCTTCTTTCTTGATTTTGCATTCAATACAATAGTATAACTATTGTAATTAAGCTAATACTAAATTACACATAGTCCAGGGACAGAAATGGTACATAGTGGAAATATGGGAAGACAAAAAACGGATGGAAACCATTCTCCTACCAAAATAAATTAACACAGGATTCCTGTGAAAGGGATATTCAAGAACTCACTGACTCCATCAAAAGATCAAACATGAGAATCATGGCATTAAAGAAGGAGACGAGGTGCAAGCAAAAGGAATGTGTAATATATTCAACAAAATAATAACAGAACATTTCCCAAATCTAGAGAAAACTATGCCCATTCAGGTACAGGAAGTCTCCAGAACACCAAACAGACCTAACAAAATAGAACTAACACCACAGCATATTATCATTAAAACAACAAATACAGAGACTAGAGAAAGAATGTTGAAAGCTGGAAGAAAGAAAAAACAAATAACATACAAAGGTAAACCCACAAAATCACAGCAGATTTCTCAATAGAAACCTTAAAAGTAAGAAGAGCATGGAGCAAGGTGTTCTGGCACTCAATGAAAATAACATCAATCCTAGGATAGCTTACCCATCAAAACTATCATTCAAAACAGATGGAGCAATAAAAGTCTTCCATGATAAGCAGAAACTAAAACAATATATGACCACCACACCACCACTACAAAATATTCTCCAAGGAATTCTGCACAGAGAAAGTGAAAGCAAACAAAACCATGAAAGGAAAGGCAGTACCAAACCACAAGAGAAGGAAAGGCAAGAAAGTAGAGTAACATGGATTCAGCTTCACACAATCAAACCCTTACACAACAAAGACAACTAAATGACAGGAATCACCACATACCCATCAATACTAACACTGAATGTTAATGGAGATAATTCCCACATCAACAGACACCATTTGCCAAACTGGATTAAAAAGGAAGATTCAATAATAAGCTGCCTAAAGGAGACCATCTCATTACAGAAACAAGCACTGGCTGAGGGTGAAACCTGGAAGATGTACCAAGCCAATGGCCCCCAAAACAGGCAGGGGTAGCAATACTTATCTTAGACAATGTAGACTTCAAAATTACATTGATCAAATGAGATAAAGAAGGACACTCCATACTAATAAAAGGGGAAATACAACAAAAAGAAATAACAATTATCAATCTATATGCACCCAACACCAATGCACTCAATTTCATCAAACACTCGGAAGGACCTAAAAAAATATATAGACTTCAACAGTGGTAGTGGGAGACCTTAATACCCCTTTATCACCAATAGATAGGTCAGCCAAACAAAAAATAAATAAAGAAATCCTAGAACTAAATCACACAATAGATTAAATAGACTTAGCTGATGTCTACAGAATATTTTATCCAACTTCTGCACAATATACATTCTTCTCAGCAGTGCACGGAAATTCCCCAAAATTGATCATATCTTAGGGCACAAAACAAGCCTCAGCAAATATAAGAAAATAGAAATAATCCCACCATTCTATATCTGACCATAATGCATTCAAACTAGAAATCAACAACAAAAACAGCAGCAAAAAACATGCAAACAATTAGAAGCTGAACACCACATTGCTCAATGATCAATGGGTCATTGATGAAATAAAAGAGGAAATGAAAAGATTCCTGGAAGTTAATGAAAATTAAAACATTACTGACCAGAACCTATGAGACACAGCAAAGGCAGTCCTCAGAGGAAAGTTTATAGCAAAGAGTGCATATATTAAAAGGTCAGAAAGATCTCAAAATCAATGATCTAATACTACAGCTCAAACTCCTAGAAAAACAAGAACAAACAAATCCCAACAAAGCAGAAGGAGAGAAATAATAAAAAATAAGGGTTGAAATCAATGAAATAGAAACAAACAAACAAACAAATGAAAAACCATACAAAGAATCAATGGAAC